AGGAGCTCTGAGCTCACTGTTTGGGTCGCATCAGCTCTGGCGTTCCCCCTGACACAAAAAGGACTGCATCTCATCTGCACAAAGCTCTCTTTTCCACGCAGATCCAGAGCAAAGCACCACTGTCTGCCAGTTGCCCTGCACTCTGAACTATGGGGTAGTCTCAGGGTGGCAAGGGAGAGAGTACCAACTCTGGGATTGGAATCCCAGCTGTACTAAGTCAGACGAGTTATAATCCTCAATCTTTTTGCATCTTTGTTTGCTCATCTATAAACTGGTATTAGCAAAACCTACCTTCCAAATGTCCTGGGGATTAATGAACAGACCTATACTAACGGCTCAGGAAAGGGTTCTGTCTTTATAGGTTTTTCACCAACTTGACTGAGTAATACAGCTCCAGGCAAAAAACACTCAAACAACTTGAAACAGAAGCATTTTAAAACCACAGTTCTATTGGCACTCTATCGGAAGCGAACTGGATTCCTTTTGGACTAAAGAAGAGCAGACTCATTCTTCTCTGAGAACTGTGCATTTGATTCAGACAGATGCCAAATGCAGGAAGAACTCTGATTCTGTTCTAAGAAGCCCAGGATGGAGGTCAGACCTATGCTGACTCAGGTTTTCAGGTTATCTAAAGCAGCTCACTTCACTGGTCAGACCAGCTTGCAGTGGTTCTCAAGCCCAGATACACATTAGCATCAGTCAGGGAGCTGTTCCAACCTATGGGTGTGCATGCCCTATCCCAATTTCACCAGAATCTCTGCTGGGCAGGGCGGGGTGTGCATGTGTGTGTGTGTGTGTGAGTGTCTCAGTCGTGTCTTTGTGACCCCATGGACCACAGCCTACCAGGTTCCACTGTCCATGAAATTCTCCAGGCAAGAATACTGGAGTGGATTGCCATTCCCTTCTCCAGGGGATCTTCGTGACCCAGGGGTCAAACTCGGTTCTCCTGAATTGCATGCAGATTATTTACCATCTAAGCCACCAGGGAAAGGCAGGGTATCAATAATTTAAACAGCTCCCCAAATGATTCTCATGTGAGATCCACTGGACCAAATAGCTCCATGATCCCTCCCAGGCATCCTAGAGCCTAAAATAATGTATGATTCAGAGTAAACACTTATTTTTTTTATTTACTTTTATTAGTTAGAGGCTAATTACCTTACAATATTGAGTAAACACTTAATATGCATTTGCTGAATAAATGAATGAAGAGTCTGACTTGTCTGTTTGGCTATTTCCATATTCACAATGTATGGAATAAAAGAAGAGCAGAAAGAGCCGGATTCCTAGTAATAATCCCAAAGCAGTACTGTCTAGTAGAAATTTCAGCAATGGTGGAAATGTTCTATAATCTGTGCTGCTCAGAACAGTAACCATAAATGGGATGTGGCTACTGAATCCTTGAAATGTGGTCAGTGTGACTAAGGAATTGAATTTTAAATTTTATCTAATGTTAATTAAATTCAAATAGTCACATGACTCTGGCTACCATATTGGCTAGTGCAAACGTAGAGTATCTATCCTTAATAAACACATCTACAACCGTGTACTTCCATGTCCTTCTTTTACTGACAGGATCCCATATTCATTTAAGGCAGCCCCTCTTTTACCACCATCTGCAGTCTTTTGGGGACAGCTAATGAAGTTGCCTTGGCCTCCTCCCACTAAGGGTTGAGCCCAAGACACAAGCTACGTCAACCAGATTCTCCTCTCCAGGAATTTTGCTCTAGCTTCAGTGTCACAAGAATAGAAAATGAGTTGGAGTAGATTAATATCAGTGTTGGTGTTGGTATAAAGACACTGTGTATCGGTTTCCAGGACATTAGTCCAGAGTTTCACCACAGTGATGTATGATGTGAGCTAGGCATCTGTGTATTAGTTTCCAGAACATTAGTCCGGAGTGTGATGATCACTACAGTGATACATGATGTGAGCGAGGCATCATTATCACCATCATCCTTGTCATCATCAAAGTCACTGATGTGCCAGCTCCTGAACTAAGTACTTAGGTTGCCTAGCTTCGCTGTGCACCCTTTCTTCATCTGCAAAATGGGAATTAACTCGTCCTAACCTCTTCCAGCGTTTTTGTGAAGACAGACAACGTTCACTGAGCTTTGAGCCAAATAATGAGTTACTCAAGTGTTGTTTAGTGGTATTGCTCTCTGGGCATTGGTGTAGGGGAATCATGAAAAGATTTGAGGCAAGACACATTATCTGGGCCCAGTTCAGAAACTGTGTGACACCAGGCAAGACACTAGTCATTTCTGGGCTTTCAGCTAAAATGAGACAGCATTAGATACATCCTTTTCCAGTTTCTCCATTTTCTAACTTACTTGCATGCCCCACCCTCCTTGCCTGACACCCATCCCTCACAACTTCTAAGAATACACTACAGAAAAGTCTCTAGCCAAGACCATGCTGGCCTTGTGGCCAACTCATTTCTTCTTTCCCCAACAACCCACCTGACCAGAAATTGTCTGGGGTAAGCACTCCTACACCGTGTATTAAAGCATCTAGCAAATCACTCTACTGAAATTGTGCTGAAACATCTCCTCCACTGGTAGACCATAGGCCTGCCAAGACAAAGACCATGTCCTTCTTATTCACCATTGTATCCCCAGTGCCTAGTACAGAGTCAGGCACATAGAAGGTGCTCAATAGGTATTACTGTTTGAATAAATACCCCAAATCTATTTTACTATTTATCATTTCAGGAAACCCACAGTATTTGTTACTTAATGCTATATAATAATAAAGTATCTCAATAATAAATCTCAATGTAATAAATAATAAAATATCAATATAATAAAGTATCTCAAAACTTACTGGCTTAAAACACCAATGATCACTTCTTATCTTCCAGTTTTTGTGGGAGAGAAATTCAGACAGGGCACGGTGAGGATGGCTTGTCTCTGCTCCACATCTGGGACCTTGGTTGGAAGACTCTGGCTGGGGCTGGAATTGGCTCAGTTCACCACTGTCGGCTATTACCCGAGAGCCAAGCTGAGCTGAGCTGAAGATACCGGCCAGGTCACCTCATGTCACCTCCGCCGTGCGGCTTGTGCTTCCTCACAACATGGTGGCTGGGTTCCCAGGGTGGGGGTCCTAAGAGAGTAGAAGAGAGCCTCCTTTAAGGAAAGAGACAGAGGAAATTTCTCCTTTCAATGATCTAGGCTTCAGGGGTCATCCCATCACTTCCACCACCTTCTATCCATGAAAAGCCTGTCACTACATCCAGCCCACATTAACGAGAAGGGAATTAGACTCCATCTTCTGAGAGAAGTGGTAAAGAACCTGCACATCTACTTTAAAACAACCACAACCACTTAGTTAGCACAAGAGGCAAGATGCCTGATGAAAGCTAAGTGTCTGGAGGAGCAAGAATTCAGTTCAAATGATTAGCTGTGTGAACTTGAGGAAAGGATTCTCTGAGGCTGGGTTTCCCTGCCAAAACAATGAATAGATTGCAATTATTGTTCCCTGGTGGTATCTACCAGTTGGAGTCTTCTTGCCTCAGTTCAGTTCAGTTCAGTCTCTCAGTCATGTCCCACTCTTCACGACCCCATGGACTGCAGCACGCCAGGCCTCCCTGTCCATCACCAACTCCTGGAGTTTACTCAAACTCATGTCCATTGAGTCAGTGATGCCATCCAACCATCTCATCCTCTGTCGTCCCCTTCTTCTCCCACCTTCAATACTTCTTGCCTCAAGATCTTAAAAGCATCCCCTCTTAACTAGCCTTCATTATTATTATTATTATTATTATTATTATTATTATTGGCTGTATCACATGGCATGTGGGATCTTAAGTTCCTGACCAGGGATTGAACCACGTCCCCTGTATTGGAAGGGAAGGGTCTTATCCACTGGACCACCAGACAAGTCCTTTAACTAGCTTTCTTGAAGTCCACTGACTTCCCATTTTTGATCACTCTTGGTTTCTGACACTGGAGGCAGCAAGAGGTTGCTCCTGGATCTAAGGGCCCCAGGATTCATACACCAGGGGCAACTCTAAGAAACAGATGTTAAACCACTGAGGACCTCAGGATTCTCCAAGGCCTTTTCCGTCCCAGCCCTGGGGACGTTGAGAAACAATAGACAGCGATCACAGCCTAAGGAAGCTGAATCTGCCTGCCGGGGGCCCAGGAAGTTGCATTTACTTTTTCACAGTAACTGCTGGTGGAGGAGCAAGGGGAGGAGTCTCAAAGCATGTACCCTAACCCTAACTGTCTCATTTTAGTATTTTGGTCCAGTTCCTTGATTTTGTTCCTGGTTCGTGCCACCACTTTGTGGAAGCATTAGGAGGAGGGAGAGTGTCTTGGGTCTCCGCAGTCCTGCACCCCCACCCCCACCCCGCCCTGCACACAATGACCCGTACTTTCACCTTTTTTCTGGGCCGACTGACCTTCCCTAGCCATCGTCTCCCATGGGTCACGGTCCTAAGACCCGGGCGCAGCACTCCGCACCCCCGGCCCGTCGTGTGCGCTAGGGTTTCCAGAGCCGAGTCCAGGGAGGCTCACAAGGGGCGAAGCCAGCGCACCCCGCTGTCGCCGGTGCAGGTTACCAGGTGGAAGCGAATGGGTTTTTAAGCCTTTACTTGCAGAGGTCGTGATCCTGACCTTTGGATAGCCTCCTCTAAGGAACATGCGCGCTGGGAGGTCTCTGCTCACCCAGTGGGAAGACCTCGGCTGACAGATGGGGAAAACCGAGGTTCACAGAGGGCAGGGATCTGTTGGACGTCCCCGCGGGAAAAAAGACCACTGAATCCGGTCTAGAACCCTGGACTTCCAGGCCATAGTCTAGTTTCTAGACCCTGAGCGCCCCAGCCAGGCAGTCTCCCTAGGAAGTACCCAGCAGCCAGCCTTCCGAGCCCAGAATCTCCGTGGAGTTTGCGCTCGCTTTGGCAAGCTGCGAACATTTCCCACTCCCCCACCCCTCCAGGAGCCCTGCTCTGGCTTCGCGGCTCCCAGAGAGGGGATAAGAGGAGAGCGCACGCCCACCGGCGTCCGGGTGATGACTTGGGGGTGAAGAATGGCTGCGGGAGGCGGAGGCCCCGGCGGGGACGCGCTGGCCCTTTAAGGGGGGGACGGAGCGCATGCGCGGCGCGGGCCGGAGTCGAGCCGGGTGGGCGGCAGGCCGGCCGGGGACCCCGCCGCCGGCCTCTCGGTTGGCCTAAGCTTCGCCGGAGCCGAGACCTGCGCGGGGATCCGCGCGCGCGCGCGCGCGGCAGGCTGCTCTCGGCTCACTAGCGCAGCCCGCCCTCGCCGAGGCTTTGCCCCTCGGCTCCGGCTTCCTCCGCGGCCGTGGCTGCGCGAACCTCCAGGCTTGTTCTCCCCGCCCCGCGGTCCTGCCTCCAGCCCTTAGACGGGGAAGGCGGGGGTGCCGCGGGAGGCCGAGCGAACAGCCGCTGAGCATCCTTTGCCCGTCGCGGCCGCGCCACCGCCCATGCTGCAGCCGGTCCAGGGCGGTGACACTGTGGCCGCAGCCCGCCGCTCGGTGACCCTACGCACCGCCCGAGCGTTCCCAGCTGAGCCCCGGGCCCGAGAGCGGGCCCCGCGCCCCGCGATGGCTCGGCTGGCGCAGCGCGGCGCCGGGTGCCCGGCATCCGCCCGCTGAGATTCGCCGGGCTGGGGACCGGTGGGGCCTGGGCGCTCCCCGCTTCGCCTCCCCGCCGCGCCCTTCCCGGGGGGCTCCACTGCTCCTGCCCGGGGTGGGGGTGCGAGGGGACAGGAGACCGAGACAAAGCCCACTTTGTGCGGGGAGTTGGCGGCGGGCGTGGAATGTGCGCGTCGGCGCGCGCCCCCTCCCCGCGCCCCTGCCAGCTGCGAGTCTCGGATCCCAGACTCGTCGCGTCCGAGAAATCGAGCCCCATCGCCGCCCTCCGATCCGGGGGGTCGCGACCTCGGAGCCGACTCCCGGCCTGGAGTCTCCTCGGCCCCCCACCTCGGAACGCGCACAGGTGTGGGCGTGCGGTATTTTGTAGAGGAATTTGTTACTCTTCAAAAAACTGGGACCTGGGGCGCCCGGTCGGCGTGGGCACTCGTGCCCAAAGGGTAGAACCCTTTGGTGGCCGCAGATCTGAGCTGCCTGGCCTCAGTTTCCCTCCGGCTTTTCTCCTCGGGCAGCCCAGGCTGCTGTCCGGTATTGTTCTCGCTCTCAAAAGGGGGGTGCTTTGGTGAAAGCTGCCAAGTTGAGATGAAGTCTCTACATGCCGTTTTTCAAAAAGAACCAGGCTTCTAAGGTTCAGCCGGGACAACCAAGCCCCTCTGCCCAGCACTTCACTTTGAGGCACTGATTTTTTTCACCCTCCCATCAAGTAGTGTTTTATTGTACGGAGCCACGCCCTGGTTTCTTAAAGGTGCCCGGCGCTCTGTTTGGCCATGTGTTATCCCTGCAGCTGGTGTGTGGGAGGCCTCCTGTGAGCCACCTTTTTTTTTTTTTCTTTACCCCTGCCTGCTGCTACGTCCTCCCACCCACCCGTCAAGGATTTGGGGATGCCAGGGGGGAAGAAGGTTGTAGGGGGCGGCAGTACTGGCGCTGCCCCCACCGCTGCAGCTGTCCCCTCTGGGGTCCGGCGTTTGGAGACCAGCGAAGGAGCCTCAGCCCAGAGAGATGATGAGCCAGAAGAAGAAGGGGAAGAGGACCTACGAGATGGAGGCATCCCCTTCTTTGTTAACCGGGGTGGGCTGCCTGTGGATGAACCCACCTGGGAAAGGATGTGGAAACACGTGGCCAAGATCCACCCCGATGGAGAGAAGGTGGCTCAGCGGATCCGTGGGGCCACGGACCTGCCCAAGGTGAGGTGTTTGCGTGGGGCTTGCCGGGTGGAGGAGAGCTAAGGTTTTAGTGACCTGGGGGCTTCCAGAGCCAAGTGCCACTTTTCCTGTTGGCGTTCAGAGCTACTGGCATGGTAAAGTGTTAAAAATACAGATAGGTTGAACCTGTCCAGAACTTTTACTCAATTACCATTGAGGCTTTTTTGTGAGGTCCACATGCCTTTGTTTCTAGGATTGCCCTCCTCCATCTCTTAAAATGCCCATATGTTGTGGGCAGAGCAGCAGATAAACTTAATAACGCTAACGGGTGGCTTGACATCTAATTTGCTAAGCGCCAAGAACAGTGGGCAGAGAGAGAATGAATGACTGAGGAGGGTCCAGGGTTTCAGATGTTGAGTAAATATTTTCATGTGTTTCGCTGAATTCTCCAAGAGCCTTGTGCATGAAGTGCAGTTTGAGGACCCATTTTTACAGACATGGAAGCTGAAAACTCAAGTAGGAACTCAGGGCTCCATAGCCAGTAAGTGGCAGGGCTGGGTCTCTACTCGCCCCACCGCCGGTCTTCCGGTTCCAGGGCCTCTCCTCCGTAGGACATGAGGTTCCAGGGCAGTTAGAAGAGGGCCGTGGAGAGGGGCAAAGTTCAGGCATTTTTCTGTGCATTGCAAAAACAAAGTGCAGTCATTTTTCACGACGGCTGGCCTTCAGTTGTGTCACCATGAGGGCCGAGGCTGTCTCATTCATCTTTGTCTTCCCAAGGCCTCCTGTGTGCCTGGCACAGAACCGGCACTTGTAAGCATTTGTTGAATGAAAGAGTATTTGAAACGTTCTGTGCCCTATAGTACTTGGTGGAAAAACACGCCTGATTTTTTCTCCCCAAAGATATGGTTCAAGACTAGGGAAATACTCTCTCAAATGCAGAGACCTGAATTTCCCTAAGAAAAGTCAGTTGGCCAGAGGTCGGAGCCCTATGCTTATGCGTACTTGTCCAGGTAAGAAGGAAGGGACCAGAGAGAGTGGCAGTTAAGGTGGATTAGACAGGGAAACAGGTGGCCTGTTTTGTTCTCTTTTTACTAAGTTATTGGTAGAACCATCAGAGACTATCTTCTGGGACAAGCTGAATTCAGTCAACCCCCAGGTTGAGGGTTGAGCTACTGCCTTATATTTTCAAGGGAAATTGAATGTGGTTTGATTTTGAATGGCTACATAATCACCTTCTGAGCTAATTCAGAATTAACTAATTCCCTGTGGTTGGCCATTGTTTCCAATAATTTTTTCTTAAAATGAGCACTGTGGTGCCCATTCTACATACATTTGGGGACCCACCTCTGATTATTGGAGAAGGAAATGGCAACCCACTCCAGTATTCTTGCTTAGAGAATCCCATGGACAGAGGAGCCTGGTGGGCTACAATCCATGGGGTTGCAAAGAGTCAGACATACCTGAAACGACTTAGCAGCAGCAGCAGCTCTGATTATTTCCTTGAGATAAATTCCTGGAAGAGGAAATGTGGCATCAGAGGATATGGACATCTGTTCCAATAACCCGCCTAGTTGTAAACTCAAGCAGACCCCTGTTGGAGCCACAGTTTTCTCGTCTGAGGTTGAGTGGTGTTGATTGTAGTGAAGTTAAATGAGACAAATGTGTTAAAGCATTTTTTTTTAATTTTGTTCCAGGTCTCAGTTGCACATGCAGGATCTTTTTAGTGTGTTGTGCAAATTCTGAATTGCTGCATGTGGGATCTAGTTCCCTGACCAGGCATCAAACCCAGGCCCCTTGCATTACCAGCACAGAGTCTTAACCACTAAACCACCAGGGAATCCCTGTGTTAAAGCATTTAAGAAACTGTAATGCTTCAGGCTGGTGCTGATTACTGGGTGTTCATTCCCTCTGTCCATGCCCTTCATCAGGAGGGACAGCTAGATCTCACTCAGCATTTGTCCCAGTGAAGCCAGAGCCACACACTTCTCCCACATGAGCAAGTCAGGGATTAGCAGATGGCTCTCTAGCCATCCTGCTGATGTCTAAATCAGGCTCTGGGAGAGTGTGAATGGTCCTCTGTAGAACTGTCACCACTTCAAGGGACTAAAAACAAAATTGACGAGCTCATTAGCAGCTGGTCTTGTAATGTCATCTTGTCATCTTCAACCTTCATGCTTAGAAAAGAAACTAATGAGGGAATAACACTATTGTCTGTGGCAAGTTTCATGGCAGACATGTATGGTGGTCCTGAAGGGATTTTGTGAGAGGATTGGGAAAATTGAAACTCCCACTTCTCAGTCAGTTCAATCTCTCGGTCGTGTCTGACTCTCTGCAACCCCATGGACTGCAGCAAGCCAGGCCTCCCTGTCCATCACCAACTCCCGGAGCCTACTCAAACTCATGCCCATTGAGTCAGTGATGCCATCCAACCATCTCAAACTCTGTCATCCCCTTCTCCTCCTAGCATCAGGGTCTTTTCCAGTGAGTCAGTTCTTCGCATCAGGTAGCCAAAGTATTGGAGTTGCAGCTTCAGCATCAGTCCTTCCAATGAATATTCAGGACTGATCTCCTTTAGGATGAACAGGTTGGATCTCCTTACAGTCCAAGGGACTCTCAAGAGTCTTCTCCAATACCACAGTTCAAAAGCATCAATTCTTGGCACTCAGCTTTCATTATAGTCCACCTCGCACATGCATACATGACTACTGAAAAGACCATAGCCTTGACTAGATGGACATTTGTTAGCAAAGTAATGTCTCTGCTTTTTAATATGCTGTCTAGGTTGGTCATAGCTTTTCTTCCAAGGAGCAAGCGTCTTTTAATTTCATGGCTGCAATCACCATCTGCAGTGATTTTGGAGCCCAAGAAAATAAAATCTCTCACTGTTTCCATTGTTTCCCCATCTGTTTGCCATGAAGTGATGGGACTGGATGCCATGATCTTAGTTTTCTGAATGTAGAGCTTTAGGCCAACTTTTTTCACTCTCCTCTTTCACTTTCATCAAGAGGCTCTTTAGTTCTTCGCTTTCTGCCATAAGGGTGGTGTCATCTGGAGAACCTCTATACAGTCAGCAAAAACAAGACCGGGAGCTGACTGTGGCTCACATCATGAACTCCTTATTGCCAAATTCAGACTTAAATTCAAAAAGTAGGGGAAACCACTAGACCATTCATGTATGACCTAAATCAAATCCCCCTCCTCAAACCACAGGAAAAGTTGGGGGGGGGGTGGGATTTCTCCTCCACCTTGGCCCAGAGCAGGAGTCTTGGCCCCAGAGTCTGGGCAGAGTGGAGATGTCCAGGAGGCATCAGGGTCTGATCCCAGAGTGCCAGCAGTGTGGAC